TTAATGGATAGTAACAATTAGGTGTTAATAAAAAAATAGTGAGAGAGTAAGAAGCCATCCACAGATTCCCTGTATCCACAAATATCTTTGTACAAATTCCTTAAAGTGTAATATTTTTGTTTAATTTTCTGTAATTTTATGGGAACATAGTATTTTCTCTCCCTCTGCTTTGTTTTTCCATTAGTTTTGTAGGTGTCTTCGGCTATATTAGAGATCATTGACTGAGAAACCCAGTTGGATTTGGAGACTCCATGATTCCTCCTAGTCCTGCCATACATGAGTTGAATACTTCTTAATAATCCACACAGTCATTCTGATGACAAATTTGGGAGAATTTTGGGCCAGATTTTTCACTTAGTTTTGCATGCCAAACATTTTACAGACTTTTTTTTGGGGGGGTGAGGGGGTGTGTACAAATTGGCATTTTACATTGGAAAATGCCTCCCACAAATCCTAAAATAAGGGGAAAAAGATGGTTAGAAGCATTGCCTGCATTTGTCAGTTCCTTCAATCTCAGGAATTTGGTTTACAGTTAAAAAAAAGCTTATGTCTTATAAGTTCTAGTGTTTAATATTGATAGGTTTGCTGGTTGACTAGAGGATGTCTTCTAGCAGATGTCATTTACAGTGCTTCATATTGCTGGATTCTTACCCTTTGGTAGCAAAGCAACATTTACTAAGAAATCAAAATCTTTTCATCAGTCACAGAAGCACTGCAGGGGCAGAATCCAGCAGATAATGGTTAGGAAAAATATGATCAGGTCTGTCAGTGCACAGACTGGGAGAGATGAGCTCCAAGTCACCCACCCACAAGCATAACTTCACCTCTTTCAAAGACATTTCAGCCTCAAGATATCAAAATGCAGAGCTTGCAACAGACTGAAACTGAAACTCCAGGCTTCCAGAGAACAATTCCCATTTTTACAAGTAAATTATATACATTTCCCCTCAAGTTTTGCTGCTCAGTAACTCAACTTGAAAAACAATATTATTGTTGCCACATGGTATCTAGGAGGAAAGGTAGACAATTTGCACGAGAACATGGTTATTTCCTTCTAAAAATAATAATTTAAATTTCTCATTTTTATTTGCAGATTTGTATTACACTGGAGAACATTTTGCAAAAAGAAAATTACATGACAAAGTCCTATGGTCTATTTTGGGATCAAAAGCATTTTCATAGAATGGTTTGGCTTTGATGTGACCTTGCAGATCATATGATTCCAACCCCCCTGCCATAAACAGAGACATAAAAGGACAAAGTTTCTCTGTATATATATTGGAAAGTGATAACTAATACTGCTGTTGGACTCCCTTGTTGTATATTAATGTGTTGATGTTAAACTACTTCAGCTAAACCCCTTCACTATGAGACATCAGGAATTCTGAGTTTCAAGGCAGAAATTTTTGCTCCATTTATATAAAAGGAAGCATTTGGCTTTGTCAGCCAAAATGAACCAGAACACTCAGCTGTGAAAAAATGCCAAGACTCTGCTATTAAAAGTTACCATGTAATACCAGCTTCTGTTACCACAGGGTTTGCTGACATTTACACACCACTCAGGATTTACAGAAGATGTGCAAAGTAAGCAGTGGAAGTGGGAGCCCTTTTCCTTGCTTTACCAGAACCTATAAAACAATTCCTTTTTCTCTCTGGAAAACTGGAGGTCATGACCCTACTATGGGGCAGTAAGTGCCAGAGAGAGTAATGAATTTCAGGTGTAGTGTGCAAGAGCACATTTCATCTAGCTCCGTTCTTAACTGGTCACAGTTTGTAGTTTCAGCCAGGTGATAAATTCACAATATGAAATATGGTTTTGCTCAAGAATATGTTCCTATTTTTGCCTCCCTTCTAAGCATTTTGAAGGGAAATCAAATGAGTCATAGGCTCAGATCCAGGTAGGTATCCATAGTATACATTTACCACTGTATGGCGAGAAGAAAACATCACAAGATAAAGACAGAATGTAATCTTTGCTGCTAACATAAACAAACAGAAAGCACTCTGAGACACATCAGTTCTTTTGATAATAGCCACCACCAAGAGAACTGTGTGCTTCATTGGTTTATTCCAGAATAAAGCCCTGTCATTTCATACAGGTTTGATTAAGCAAGGTGACAGATCAGCTTTGGGCTATGTATTTAGCTATGAAGTTGGTGGATGTCTCTTCTACATTCATGACTGTAATAGACACATGAGAATAAAAATAGCTGTCTTACATGTATTCATATCTATTGTCTGGTCTTGAAACCCTGGAGGACAAATGGGAGTTGTCATCTCCTTTCTCTCCCCCAAGTCAAATGGCTTTGAAGCAGTAATGACTACCAGAATTAACAGCTCTGGATTAGCCCAAAGATATGAATAAACTCAGTGCAATGTTACAAGCCACAGCTTACAAAATAGATATAGAAGACACCAGGAAACTGTGCCTTAAAAACACAAAATTATTATGAGGGATTTTACTTAAGAATAGTTCCTACAGATTCTACAGAAAGGAAAAAAAAAAGCAGGATGTCAAAAGGGCTGACTGTGTAACCTCCTAAAGAAATACAACTTCCTATCTCTGCCACATTGCTTACACACAAGAATGTAATTTTAACTTGATTTTAACTTGAGCTTATTGTATTTCAAGGAAATTTACCTGACAAGTAAGATTTTTTAAGGGGAACCTTTGAGTTCCTCAAGTAAATTTTCCACTAATGCCTAAATAGACAACATTTACCTCCTTCTATCTTTATTTATTTATTTAAGATAAAAATACATTAAGCCTCTTGTAGCCAGCATTATGTAAACTACATGATACAGCTGACTGCAGCACAAACCTGGGTATTTTCTCCAAGAGTGACTGATAAAAAATTTGTCTTGTTTTAACAAATGCTGTCCTGTGGTTGATTCACTTTGCACAAAGTTGGGATATTTGCAAGTACACAGCTATTTAACATTCCTGTACAGTCATGTCACCATAGAAGCAGCAATAAATAATGTCATCCATCCAGCTCAACAGACCAGTGCTAGCAAGGTTATTTATTTCTGACCAGTCAATCCTGAGGCTTTTTAATGCATTGTGACTCTTAAACTCATCAGCAGATTACCCTCTAGGCAGAGCAAATTAGAGAATCTGTTTTCTCTCTGTCATTGAAAGACCTAACCATTTACAGCAAAACGAATTCATAACAAATTTAACAAACTGGGAATCTGCAGTAAAAGAAATTCTGGTTTCACAACAAGAAAGCATATTTATGCTTCACAAAGTAGTATATACTTAGTTAATTGTCAGTACAATTGTCAATACTTAATTCCAATAGTGTACTAGAGTTATTGGAGTTAAATTAGTATTACTTTTTTCTTTTGTAAATAAATAAGAATTTCTCCTCATCTATATAATTTAACAGCTCTTTAAAGAATTTATTTATCCAGTGGTAGATGGCAATTTGAGACAGAGTGTGCAAACATTATGTAAAAGTGTAAAGTGATAGTGTTAATGTGAGAGGAAAAAAAACCCTGAACTCTTCTTCAGAAGACTTTTACTATGAATCTTTAGCATCCTAATTCACAGCTATCACTAAACACACTCTTAAACTGCTAATTAATTTTGAAAGATAGCATTCGATATTAATTAGACCCAGCACAACCAGGAAATTACTTCAGTGCATACTTACAGTGGCATAATTAAGGCAAACAAGTTTCACAAGCAGTAGAATTAGAGGAATCTGGTTTCTCATAGGCTCCTATTTCACAGATTCTTCTGGGTTTAACACAGACCAAGACTGAGCTCCCGCTTTCTTGAACTGGTTCTCTTTCTTTTGATGTTCTAGGATATGATATAATGTGAGCCCATGAGTCAAACACTCTTCTAGCCTACCAGAGCACTTAGATGCACTTAATTTGTAGGATAGATTTGAAACTCTTGTCAAATTTGGCTGAAAATTTTTTGACTTGTAAATAAAAGGTAAAGTTGAGACAGTGGAAAACCACCAACAAGACTTCTTGCTTCCTGATGGAGTTTGTGTCAAATCAGTCATTTGAGCCCAGGCTCTCCAAGGAATCCAGCTGTTCAGTGACAGCTCAGATTTCGGATTCCCAGGCCGCCAGCACATCAGATGTACTGTCTGTGTAATGATACCAGATACATGGGAGGAACAGCCAATTATTACAGCAGTGAATCTATCACTTCAGCACTCCAGAGGCTATTTACAGCAATTTAGTGACAGTGAGACCTCTCAGCTACTGGATCAGCTACACCAGTGGCACGAGATCTGGCCACCTGTTGAAGCAGGATTTCCCCTCCCTCGAGCCCCAGAAAGTTCAGTTCCATGGGCTTTAGGCAGGTGATTTTCAGATGTGGATGTGTGTCAGGGAGATGGGACAGATGAAATGAATTCTTTTCTTCAGACCCACACTGAAAAGCTTCCTTTCCTTAGGGACTAATATTAAAGAAAATTTTGATCCCTTGGTCTAAAGAGGCAGAAAAGACATTCTTGAACTTCAAAAACCTCTGGAAGTTTGCTGTAGATTTCTATAAATATTTTAACAAAGAAGTGTTTCTTGTTCTTTTCCTTTTTAACCTAAAGACTTGCTCAGATTAAACACCTTATAGAGGCCTATTTTGTTCATAGGTAGTCATTTTTGCATGGTGTTAAATAAAGCCTTTTTCATTTAACTCTGCTTGTTAAGATTGCAGTCTTGCATTTTCCTATACAACAGATAACAGAAGTGTCAGTCACCTCAACACAACCTCATTTACCATTAAATAAAGGCAAACCATGCACTTATATCAGTTAGTCTTAGTCTTGCTACTCTTCAGCCAAAACCCTATCACCTTCTCAAAATCAGGGAAATTATTTCATAGCTGTTTCTTGGTGTTTCAAGCTGATCTTCATGATCAAAATGATCCAAAGATTCACAGACATACATTCATTTTCAAAAAATTAATCATCCCAGCACAAAAAAAATACACTCAGGTGGAGGAACAAGAATCTGAACAGGATTCTACATGAAAATAGATCTGGATACTTCATTTATTGACATGACTTCATATTTAAAAAATTCTCTTTGAATTCAAAGCCAAAAAATTCTAGTGCTTTCAGTGCTGTCTTTGCAAGAAAGGGAGAAGAAACTGGTCATGCCTTGTACAGATGCTTCCCTAGTAACTTTGCAGGAACTATTGCTTCTAAAGTGCAATCTCATGCTGAGGTGCCCAAAACAGTCCAATTTCATGTTTGCTACAGATCTGCAAAGAGAAGAAATTTCTCAATCAATTCTATTGATTTCTGAGCTCACAACACCTGTGTAAAGTTCTGCTAGTCTGGCATTCAGCCCTGTTATTTTATTGCTGTTTTAGATGAATTTTCACTGGTGCCAGTCATGTTTCATCAGGAAGTAGCTGTAGCAGGACTGTGACCCTGCCAATCAAGTGCTACCTACACAAGAAGTTGGCTGTGGACACTCCCCCTTTCCTATTTTACTCTTCCTTTTCTGTTAAATTTTACCACTACTTTGCCTATATTAAGCATAATCAAGCCCAAACGTTTGATAAGGAAGGAGAATAAAGGCTCTCCTTATTGGCAACATTTTCCAGCCCCATGGTTTATTATATATTTTACTCAATTCAGGTTCAAAAGGAAAGCTTCACTCACCACATCCCATACATGGTTTGAGGCAAGGACAATTTAAAAAAAAAAAAAAAACCTGAACATTTTATTCTAAACGTAGGTGGGTTCATATATTTTTCCCAAAATATGTCTTCTTAGTATTTTAAAATCTTTATGGAACACCTTTCTTTCATCTTTTTGGTTTCACGGTTGTTTTTTTTTTCTTAGAATAATAAAATGGAATTCTTTGAAAACCAGTTTTTATAATCTATTTTAGCACCTCAAAGAAATTAAAGAGGATGAAATTTCAAGAGTGTATATTCTTCCACCAAGAGATTTAAAAAAATATTTGGGAAAATGATAAATTAAGGTTTATTTTTCAAGCATTTCAAAAAGGAATAACAACAGAGAGCCCCATGGATACTTGTCTTACAAGATATTACTTACCAACTAAACCAAATTCCCATTAAAGCTTTTCATCCTGTACTTCTGAGAAGTCCAAGTCACAATCTGCTGTCACTGAACATGTCTGGCACACAGAGATTTAATCTGCTTGCTAATGCCAGTCCCATGGGGAACTGTGAGCATATGGCCAGAGATCTTAAATTGAATCTGTCTTCAACCAAAGCCACAGTGTGGAGGGGAGGGCACAGAGGGCTGAGATCATAAAGATCTGTGTTTGCTGAGCAGCTGAGCTGATGACTAACACTGGGCTGAGGCAGCTTTCAATTGTCAGACACAACTGCCAAAATCCCAACTTGATCAGAGGCAACTCTGATTCACTATTGACTGCAACCACAGGACCTGGCTGCTCCCAAAGACTCCTTCCCTACCGTGCACTGCTTTGAAGCCCAGGGCAGGAGAGCTACATGTCAGCAGAACCACAGAGATCTGTGAGAGATACTAAGAACTATTATTTCAATTATTTTCTGATAGTATTTTAAGTCCAAATTCTATATTGTGACTGCTTCAAACATCAGGCCTACAACCATAAGCTTAATTTAAAAAAAGCAAACTATTTACAGTTTTCCCCCATTCAATTCCATGTACTGCTAAAAGTAGCAGAATTTCTGTCCTAGTTTGAACATATATTGGATGTCTAAGCCTTGAATAGACCACAATAATCCAGAAATAAGCATTAAAGAATATAGTAAGTGGCACAGGGAAAACAAAAAAACCCAAAAACAAAACAAAAACAAAAGCAAACAAACAAACAACCTATCAATTATAATCTTTGCTACTCCTTATTTACTTTGATACCCTTGGTTGTTTTTATTTCAGCTGAATGATTCCAGATAATAAAGCTAACACACCAAAATTCTATCCTGTCAGTACAAGCTTTAAGAGTGTCAGTGATTTGACTAGTTAAGAAAAACGTCTTTGCTACAGAGTGCCCACTGGCAGACTTATTGTATGCCAGAGCAGTTTAGGACTCCATTTGCTTGGTCAAATTATTAATCATCCTCTTCATACTTTAACTGAAAGATGTCCCCTCATACCTAATAGTCACACTGGCATACATTGTTATATGATATTTAATAGATTAAGTAGGTGGCATATATATACTTTATAAAAAACAGCTTATATTTTATATTTATATATTCCAAAATACACTTTAAATTAGTCATCAGAGAGAGTTCTAAAACTCACTTCAAACTCCAGTGAAGTCAACAGAAAGACTGTCCCCAGAAGAGATATTGACTGTACTTCTAAAAAGTACAGAAGCCTCTCTTCTAAAAAACCCAAGCTGTGTCCTTGGCTGCCTACAAAAAAGTTCTCCATGTAGGTCCTGTTGCATTAAAGACAACTCTTAGACAAAGACCTTCACAACAATTGTCACTGTGAAGAAGATAACCACTGTGGCCTCAAGATTTGCATTCAGTGTTTGACAATTGATTTATAGAACTGGAAATAGATTACCCTGACATAGAACTGTTCCACGCAATGATCTATAAAACTAACACTGAAATATAACCTGGCAGCTGTCAATCAGATAAGGACTGGAAGAAATGTCCTTTGACATAATTTAATTTCAGATATCCCTGGCTATTGTGGGGGTCAGTGAGGTCACTCTGTTTAAATAATAACTATCATACAAAATTCTCATGAAAATGTGTTCTCATATGATTTTAACACTGAACTCTCTATCTTAATTTTAAGAAACATATAGAATCAAGGTGAAAATCCTTTATTTTTCTAGAATTGAAAAATTAAAAGAATTTTTTTTATTTATTCCACTTTTGTACAGATTATCATATTTAGTCATCTCTTTAGTCCTCCCTTAGCAAGCATGGAATTTCAATGTTACAAATCCTTATTAATGACAAAAGAAAAGTAAGATTTTTAAAATGTTTACCAAAATAAAATATGAGAGAGAGGACACATTTGATAGCCCCAGCCAGGGGAACTTTTAGGAGCATCCCACTGAACCTTTAATTGATTTCCATAGAGTCACCTCAGTTTGCTGCAGACACCAGCTGCCTGTAGAGACACAGGACCCGAGGTGAGAGCAAAGAGCCTCAGCTCTGGGGCCTTACATTTGTCACGTCTCTGGGAATGCCTCTGTAGCTCCTTCCAGCATAACCATCACTTCTGCAGCAGAAACACAAATCCAGATCTCAGACCATTTGTCGTGCCTGGGGAAAAGAAAGGAGAGTCAAAAATATTAGTAGGAAATAGATTATATACTTTCAAGTCAAAGCTGAGTATTTATGTTCCACCCAGCACTGGTGGAACATAACATGGAAGCCAAGTGCATTTCAAATTGGGAAAGTGACCCCTCACAAACATTTAGGGTTAAATCTGTATATTTCAAGTCAATGGTTTGCAATGGATTTCTCTGCTACTGCTAAATAAGGTCCTAAGGTACTGTGGCAGTCTAGCAGAGAATTGGAGTATTAATCAAAATATTTTGCACTTTTCTTCTCATTAAAATTTCTGTGTGTTTTCATATGGTTGTATTGGATTTGCTATTCCAAGAAAGCAGCAGAAGATCCCTCAAAGATGTACAAATCATCATGCTTGTATGTCACTGGGAGGTAAAAGGAAGTGAAAATATTAAGAATATAATCTGAATTTTTCCTTTAAAATAGGAGTATATAAAATTTATCATGTTCTAGTTACTAAGAATCAATAAAGATTTCTGCAAGAATAGTAATATATCCTTTCTACCAAGGTATTCTTTCTAAACCTAATAAAAGTATAAGTGCAGGTTTATTTCTGATTATTTTTTCCTTTTCCCCTGTAAGGAAACCTGCAGGATAAATGGTTTGAAAGACTGTAGTTAGTCTACAAAAGGGTATAGCTGATATTTTATAATATTTAGCACAAATAAGTTAGCACATATCACTGCAAGAGATGTTTCAGAGAGTATTTAATTAGGACAATTGTGGACTTCTCATTTTACCTTTGAAAATTTATAATTTATGCAAAAGGACATTTTTTTTTTATCCTTTGGGGTTCATGTTGCAATGTAAAAGGTTTCATTTTTGCTTAGCTTACATTTCCAGCATTATTAATACCTAGATGTACTAAAATTCTCTTCATTAGGAGCTTTGAAACTATTTAAAAGAGTGAAAATGTCTGGGGCCATTAAAGTTATATAAAAATAGACCAAACCACAGACACCAGCTAGCACAAATTTCTTTTAAAACAGCACTAAAGAGATATATTGCAAAAAATGTGAATTTCTCTAAATTCTTTCATGCACTTCCACAGTTACTATCATTTTCATAAAATTAACTTGCAGAAGACTCTCCTAGTAAAATTAGTGTTCTTTTTTTCCACGGCAGAAAAGTCTGTTAGGGATATATATAAAATGAAAGGCACTTCTGAGCTATTATTCAGCAGTGCTAATAGCTTTCCATGTCTCAAGATTAGCTACAATGAAGTATCCATGAGCATTTCAGATCCAGCTCTGGGCTCACCACTTCAGATCAGGCTGTTTAATTACATTCATGAATTAGATGAAGCACTGGTAGATGGGCATGAGTTACACTGTACACAACACATGAAATTATCACATTATTAGCAGGATGTAAATATCTAAAACAAAAATATGGATAACAGAGTGCTTATAACATCAGCAGCTTTCATAAAATTGAGGGTCTCTTGCATAACCTAGACACAAGCAATATTGACCCCTGCTTTACTGAAGACAGGCCATTATTTTTCCCTCTTACCTCTCCAAAGGGATAAGCCTATTGGTGCAGCCTGGGTTCCAAGTACATCAGGCACACACCTAAAAAGTGTATAAATCTGAGTTCTTACCTACTTCAATATCCCTGTCAAAATCCACCAGTCCCACCTAATGCAGCACCTTTGCAAATAGTCACAGAACCAACTTTGTCTTTAGTGACAGTATCCCTAAGGTTTTAGTCCTAGGATTATTCTAGAATTACATATTTTTCTAAAGATTAAAATGAAGTTTCATTCTTTCAGGCCTTCTCCTTTGTCCTCCAGAACCAGGGTTGAAAGTGCAGAGAGCCACGAGCACAGCTCTTGTGGAGTTCAGGGATCCTGCTGGTTCTGTGTTTGTCTTGCCACACACACAGATCACCTGGACAGAACTATTCTATAAGAGGAATATTTCCCGTTCTTCAAATTATTTTACCTTTTACCTTCCTATTTAGGCAAGCCACAGTAATTCTCCTTTGTTTCTGCCTCAGAAACAAGACAAAACTGCATCTACCACTTCATGGCACTGCACATTAAGTGTCTCTCACACAGAGCCAGTTTCACTGCAGCTCTCTACCTATATGTGACAAGATACATGTGGAAGGCTTATTTTTCTTTTTTTGCTTGCTCAGTCAAGTTGTTTCCAAGCTTTTCTGGGCTTTGCAAGGCTGCATCTCCCTCTTTTAGCCACCATTTGACAGATTTCAGTACATTCAAACCACAGTGCAGAACAGTGCAGAAATTATTCTCCAGCTACAAAACTGCCATGCAGAGCCTGGCTGCCCATTAAGTTCTGCTCATGAAACATCTTGCAACATCTCCAGATTCCTTAATGTAAGTCCCTGCATGTAGTGTGCACACATCCTGCAGGATTCCTGGTGGTACCTAATCTGCCAGTCCCAAACACACAACAGTGCCCATGATTTTCCTCTTTCTCTTTCCTGTTTAGGATGAGGATGGGAATCTGTGTGGACAAGGAGGCAAAAGAACCTGTTCCCACCTCCTTTGCAGTCTCAGGAAGTGACCACACAAAACTGTTTCTACTTCAAACTTTCATTGTGCTGTAGTAAAATGAAAGCTCATTCTAAAGGACAAAACTGAAGTTATTTGAAAACATTTGTAATTCCAACATTGAGCTTTTTAACACTTCTGCTGCATTTCAAAAGCCAGCACTTGGCTCATTCACTGCAAACTGTTGAAACACCTAAAAATTTTTGGGCCCACTTTATTTGCTGTATATCCTGACAGTGTGGTGATCCCTAGATTTTTATGTAATCAGATGAAATGGATGCAGTTGATGTAGACTATTTCCAAACCATTTGAAATAATGTTTCCATTTCTGAGACCACAGGGAAGATGCACAAGTGAAAGACCATTTAGAGAAATGTGAGCTAAAATGGATGCAGAAAGCCTCAGTGGGAAAAGGTAGAAATAACAATGCAGTATCTTAGCCAACAGCCACATGCTGCTTAGAGAATTCTTTTTCTAAAGAAAAAAATATTTTTGAATTGATAGGATGTCTTAATTCTTGAGATGAAAGAGCATTTCAATGAGACAGAACCAATTTCAGTAATTATTAGCTTTTTACAATTAGGGATAATATGTGTGTCAGATTTTTTATTTTTTTCTTTAATGTAGGCAATGCAAATATTTAAAGGTAGAAACAAACAGAATATTAGATTCTTTCAAAATGCCATAGGAAAGCAATCTCCAGAAAAAGGTAGATCCACTAACCAATGTGTTTATAACAGTTCAGGCTCTTTCAGCCTCAACTAACAAGGTCACTAAATTTGCTTTTGGTCATACATAATTATTCAATGACTTTTTCATGCCATTTCTTTAAAACTGATGATGAAACTAAAGGTTTCTGCTCATCCCCACTTCCACAAACAGAACAAATAAGGAAATAGAAGTGTGACTTTAAATTTTAGTGTTCTCAGGCAAGTAGAGCATTTATCTTCCCCGCCTCAGGGAAAGGAATCACATGTGTACTGGAGTAAGTGACTCATGATAGCAAAGGAGTAGAATAATCACCCATTTCTATTCCAGTGGCTGCTCCAGTTCTTTTCTTTATGAACAGGGCAAATGAGGGAAGACATGGAAATCTCTGAAACTGCCACTACCTTTCTGCAAGGATTCCTTTCCAAGAGAGACAAACTGAAGGAAAACAAGGGTAGTATCAGAGATCTCTTCCTCTCTCCTTCCATCACACACAACTGACTGGATTCTCCACAATTTTTTCAAAGCCAGCAACTTCACTTTCAGTAATAAACTGAAAAGACACAGATTAACACTCCTGTTTTTTAGTTTATTGAAAATAAGGCATGAAATTAAAATATTTTATAGCTTCTGCATTGCAAGGCTTTTGCTAGAGTTCAACATGAGGAAGCAAGCAGAGCCATAACTGATTTGTGCACACTGGTGAGTTTCTGAGCGCAGTAGCAGAAACAGCAGAAACTGGAACTTAAGACATGCAGCTAAGCATGAAGCCTTACCTGGGAAAAGGAGAGGGGAAAAAACCCAACAAACCAAAGCAAACCAAAGAAAAACACAAAAAACAAAAAGCAAAACAAAACACAGAACAAAGCAAAGCAAGAGAACTTACTGTATCAACACAAGGGTAGTTGGGTTGGGTAGTTTGCTTTTGTCAGTGAACAAGCTATGAGAGAGTCACACTCAACGAGAGAGCTTTTAGTTCTTAGGATATTAAATTACTTTAATAACAGCAGATATTAAGTTTGTTTTAAATCCCTCTGTTAAGGTCCTGAGGAAAAAAAATCAATAAGAGAAAAAGATATTGATTTTCTCCCCCCATCTTTACGGTTAATGGCTCTAAATATAACCCTTAAATATTTGTTGGGTATTTTTTTATTTGGTGATATGTCTTTATTTTCCAATAGGAACTAAAAGGCTTTAGCCTCAGCATATAGGTGTTTAAAGTGTCTAAATAATATAGTATGCATGAATCTCATTTTCAGGTCTGTACCCTAAGGATTCCTGAAGACCAGAAGATTTAGTTATTGAGACACTGCCAGATAATATGGTAACCACTCAGCTTTGGTACTGACACACAGGTAAGACTGCACTGCAAAGTAAAAGCTAAATCTTAGTCTTTTTTTAATGCAGCATGACTTTTTAGGGGAAAGAAAAGTTTTTGTTGTCATGTTTGGTTTGGAGTTTTTATTACAATAGGATTTTAATTCTGTGTACATAACCCCTCCCATTTTCTTAACTGCCCTTAAACAAAAAATAGTACAGCGTTAACTTGGACCTTTCAAGTAAAGGGTCAGTTTTCAGGATATTCAATAAGCTTATTTCCCCAGCATCAAACAATCTTCTTCAAAACTGGCTGAGAAGGCCCTGTAAGAAAAATACAGGAGTTTTGGTTTTTTTTGCAGAAGAAAGCATTTCTTTCCTTCCTACTACTTTAAATATCAGGTAAAACTAACAAAGCAAAGATTGAAAGAAAGGATCCTCACAGAAAGGGCAATAATTTCTGCCAGGAATAACATCTGGCCTGGATATCTCTAAATAGTATCTCTGCCTGGGTCCTGCACACAGGAGCTGCCACTGTCCTTGTCCTGAGCTGTTGCAGGGCACAGGGAGGGAGCAGCTCAGCACAGCAGCCCTTCCCTCTTGTTTTTTAAGACAAAAAGTGATGCTGCCACAGCACAGGCTCCTCTGGTTTACCTGAGCACATTCCTCATACAGAGCTTCACTCGTGGGCATCTGTGTCTCAACCTTGCCCACTCATGTTTTAAATAGCAGGGGCCTCTGAATTTTGAATATTGTGGAAATGACAAAGCTTTCCAGTTCCCCTTTTTACAACATTCATTGCTGTAAAAACACCAGCTTTTGATGGAAGAGAGGTGTCATATCCTTTTGGGAAGTAACACACCAGTTCTCAGTTCTCAGAAGATATGCAGGTGAACTCAGGTGGGGGAGGAACATTATGGGACGTTACTGAATCAGCAGTGCTATCCTGAATCCCAGATATTGTATAAGTATTACAAAGCAACCTAAGTTAGGGCACCAAATAAAAAGGCTGTTACAAATTATTCTTGGGCACACAACTGGTTGTTTACTTTTCTGTATCAGCCTTTCAGTATTAACACTTAAATCAAAAATCATTAAATAATCTGATAATCTTCATATGCAAATTGTTACATGCATTAGTCATGCCCTAACATCCCACTATCCCTGTCTTAAAACAGTAATTAATTTCTCAATTACATATTGCAAAATTGCTAAGGCTGAAAAAACAGTTTGTAAGTAAGCAGCAGAAGCAGCAATAGCATTGGTTATATGACTCTATTACACACAGGCTGATTTGCAGAACTACAAACAGTACCAGGAAGAATTTCTTGACTCTTCATGAAGGTTCAACTTTATTGAAGATGGAATGTCAACATGCCCCTGAAAATGGAGCATGGTAAAAGAGTGACATCCATGGCCTGACAGAGCAAAATGAGCTGAGACACAGCAGTGGAAGCAAGGGAGACGAGACAGGAAAAATGAATTGCTTCTCTCAGTTCCCTGTGATCCATCCTGCTGCTCTGCCTTCTAAGCCCAATTTTCAATTGTGAAGCCTCAGATCTGTACCCTGTGACCATGTGAGCTGCATTTTTTATGCTATATAAATTCCACAGCTGTTCATAGGATACTCACTACATCCAGCCTTGAGTGAAAAACAGTGGTACAAGGACGATAGAACATTCCCAAAAGGTCACTCTCAAAACAAACACAGAGCTAAGGAAAAAAGACAAAGCAGACCTTCTGTGATCCCAGGTGGCACCTCATTTACAAGACTTTCTTGTGACTGCAACAAGCTTCTTTTGAAGGATTATACTTTTTGGCACATCTGCAAGATTTCTGCAGTGAAATTAAATGGCAATAATCAGAGATATTTGTATGAAATTACTCAACTGTTTTAAACACCTGTCACAATCTTGCTGGAAGTATCAAAGGCACATTTAATATAAAGATTTGTAATAAACAAGAAATTAATTTTCATTACAATGACTTAGTATGTCTGTCAAAACAAATCTTTTACATTTACAGAAAGCATCTACAACACTGAAACATCTCTAACACAGTGGCTTTTTTGACCTGCTGTGCCTCTGGGAGCAAGTCCACAACTCAGCTCCCTGACTCTGCTCACTCCAGAGACAAGACACAGTAACCAAAAAACCAAAAACCTGAATTTTATTATACAACACTGATACAGATGATAAAATGGGGATTTGACATATTTGTTGTGTCAGCCCTATTTGGCAGCAGATAGCTAAAAATAACCCTTAAGACTGCAGAGTAAGGCTGAGACTCAAAAGTTTGCTTTTAATTTTGGATTTCACCTCTGAAAATGGAAAAATTTAATGCCTTGGAAGGGTCAAGCCACTTGGTGGACATGACAGAGTTCAAATCTACCATAAACCATGAATCCCATCAGGGAGCTGTGGCTGTGCTCCCTCACTGAGGACCTTCCCACCCTGCAGCAAAGGATTCCCATCTCTCAGGTCTGACTCTTTGTACTGTGAATTTTACTGCATTATCCAAACTGGTTAATGGAGTGGTCCTTTTGTTTCTCTAGCCACCCACAAAGAAAAGAATACAAATTTAAGTGATGCATCTTAGTCACTATACCATCCAATTTACCTCTTGATTTTGTAATAGACAATTATCATGCCCTTGGTGCAGCTAAAGGCTTTTAACATTGTAGGTTTAGAACAGCTGTCAAGGAGAAAACTGTTGTGCAACATGAGTTTATGAGTTTTTCTCACAACTCCCTAAGTCTCCCCTTCCTTCTTCACTCTAGGATTATTCTTCTTCACATTATTTTTCATATTCTTATTTTTAAGCATATACCAGTTTTCCTCTACTCTTCACCACTGCAAAACTGGGTGCTCAGGGAGCCAAATGTAATGTATTTTAATTACATGATGTTCTGCTCTGGTGAAATGTTACACCAGAAAAGGAAAAATGAGGAATCTTACTGTAAGAAGAATATATTTAGACTAGGCATGCTTCTGTGCTTCATAACCTGTTTAAAATGTAGGCTGTGTAAAATTCTGTACAGGAACCTCTTTGTACGACATGACTCATAAACATGAATAATGTTCAGCAATAATCCTGATGTTATTTTTGCTCCCCTCCACAGACTAAGTAGTTTATTGTTAATACTCCTGTGCCCTCAAGAAAAATAATTGTTTTGTCATTTTCTTCCTACATTTTTGTGTTTGTTAAGTCAGATTCCTTGTGTTATGTCATAACATTGAGACAACTTTAAAAATTGTCACATACAAACCTGAGGGAGCTGGGGGTGTTTATCCTGGAGAAAAAGATGATCACTCTCTCCAGCTGCCTGCCTGTAGCCAGGTGGGGGTCAGTCTCTTTTCACAAGCAATAAGCAAGAGGACATGGCCTCAGATTGTGCCAGGGAACATTCAGACTGGATATTAGGGAAAATTTCTTCACAGACAGGGTTGTCAAACACTGGAACAGGATGCCCAGGGAAGTGGCTCAGTCACCAGCCCTGGAGGGATTTAAAAGACATTCAGACATAACCCTTGAGGTCTTGGTTTAGTGGTAGGCTTGGTAGTTTTACATTAATGGTTGGACTCAATGACCTTAGAGGTCTTTTCCAACAGAAATAATTTATATATGTAAATGTATATGTATATATATATATATATTTATATATACATATATATATATATACACTTGGAATGTTTTCAATAAAAGACTTTAAGAATACCAAAAGCTGTTTAGCACAGATACTACCAGTTACATTCTTTTCTAAAGTAAGATTATATTGAACTTTCTGAAAGAGATTAGATAAGCGTATCTAGATTTCAGGATTGTCATCTGTCAGACCCTGAAGTGCAGCCAGCACAGAACTATGCACAGAACAGAAATAAAATTTGTTTTATTATTTAATTCTATTTCCTTCAGTCCTGAAAATCATCAGCTTAGACAAGTAGAGAGAATGGATATCACGGCAAAGATTTTAAGATATAGATGTACATTGACATCAAATAAAAAGTTTTCCAAACTTTTAATGAGTTGCAATATTTTTTTTTCAATGGTTGAGCAAATAGACCTTAACTTTGATAGAGATAAAGCATTTGATATGTCATGAAATTCATCTCTGTTTCAGCAGTACATGCAAAGCAGCAGAATGATCTCGAACTTTGCTATGATTCACAATCACTTCCTTTTACAGACATGGGATGGGTGCTGCTATGATAACCTCCCTCTCCCCCCTCCTGCCCAGCAATATGCCTTTAGCACTAAGGTGTGTTCCCACACTGAAAGGGCATTTCTGATGCCAGCAAGCCAAAAAATCCCACAGAAAAGCAAAAGGGAACAAGATTCTGAAGAACAGGATGAGCCCACTTGATGCATACAGAGGATCTCAGTATAAGAAAAACAAGATTATTCCCTAGAAGCAGAGTGTACTAAACTCTTTAGACACAGGATCATGCTCCTTTGTGGTAAATTGTAAGTTTAAGGTTTATATATCCTGTTTAAGACAAAGCAGAGTGAAGTTAGAAACCAATCATCACCTCTAAAAACACATTAAAGAATAATTATTTATAATAAATATATTAAATCTATTTGAGGTCAAGAGTTTATTACTAAGATGCCAATCCGACAATACTGTTGGGAAAGGTATTTTTGTGCCTGGTCACACTTAAGAAGAACTAATTAAGTTTTCCAGCATGAAGGCTATATTTATTTAGCTCTGTTATATCCCTAATCTTGCACTGCCCTGTGCTCTAGGTATTGCATTGATATGAACAGCCAGTTATTTAGCCTAATTTTTCCAGCTTCTGTATTGAAATACATATGACAGCAAAACAGAAGCAGAAGGCATAAGCAGAGCCTACTCTACATTAAATTAATATTAGTCTTTCAGTCTACCTATGTGACAAAAGCTACATCACTGCAGGCTGCTGGCCTCGGGGTTGATTGCTCTGAGTGTCTCAGACTTTCATGTCCTGGATGGGAACTTCTCAGTGGTACCAAAAACACACAATCTGCTGATGGCAGCAGTTGAATAAAAGAGCAGATTCTTAGTTCTTTGGGCATCAAAGGAAACAGAAGCACTGAACTTTGTGAGCTGCATTTATCAGAACTGTTACATGCCAGGTAGGGTAAATGTTCTCTCTGTCTCTTCTGCTACCTCCATTCTTTGTTGGAAATAGAGTACTGAATAATTTTTTATAGAAGACATTTATCCAGGAAGGGAACTGCTGGCTCCTGATGCTAACAGTGAATGTGATTTGTTCATGAATTATTAAAAAAAAAAAAAAGAAAGAAAAAAGAGAAAACCCACCACTGAATCACAGTCCCTTTTACATTTGTTTCTGATCAAGTTCATAGTGTCTTTTGATTGTAGTCCCCTATGGGTACTTTCTTCTATAGAGCATGGCACTCTTTTCCTTCTACCAAAATTGTATTGTGTCATGTTTAGAGAGAGCCTTTGCCCTTAGTATCAGGAGGAAAAGAGAAGGTTTCATTTCATCTTTGTAGGATTGCCATGAAAAAAAAAAAAAAAAAGGAAGAAAAACATGACTGTAAAAAACCTGAAAAAGACAGAAGTAAAGAAGTGAGAACTACCTCAGAAGAGATATTTCATTGACATTAATGTACTGTTTACTACAATTTTACTGGTTGCTACAATTCCAGACAATACATCAATATTTTCCTTGGCAACTTTTTTATGCTTATTCAATAAAGTTTAAAAACTTTGACTTGCTAATGAATAAATAACTGTTAAAGGGAATACAGGATCTCTTTTCTGTAAATTCTTTTTATTAGGCATAGAATCATTCATTTATACTTCAGATTTGCTGCTTGAGTGTACTGCTGCTTGTAAACCAGGTAGGCATGACTCTTTCAATTGTGAAGTCAGAAATTACTCCAAATTATTTTAAACTAAATAGAATCTTAATGGAAATGTCTATATTGGCACTTACAGGCTTAAGTATCCTTAAACATTGTGTGGTTTGGTCTTTTAAGTAGAAATATACACACTAAATTTACAAAGCAACAATTGTGGGTTTTTAACTTCCAATTTGTATTATGTTTTATATAATAAGTCACTGTATTGGAATATATTCAAACAACCTATATACAAATGTGCTGGGACATCTTTTCAAATCATATATTTGAAGTAATAAAGAGCATTACTATATTATCATATATATAAAGTAAGTATTTTTTAAAAAATGTGGTTCTTAAAGGTAAGACTATATAAACAAAATGCTGACATAACACAGGATTCAGTGGGGTTTTCTCCATTTACAAAGGGATTTCCAAGATGATGACAAAGAATTCTTACCTAGTGAGAACAGCTGTATAAGGAGATGAAAAAAATGATGCAATTTTCTCAGTATTGATTGAAAAATGTGGATAGATAAGTCATTCCAGACTTTTCAGGTCCTTTCCAGAAATTTATGCATTTTTTGGAAAAACCTGCCTCCTCTTCAGACAGCCAGAAAAATCAGCATCCATTCAGGATGTTTTCTCAGCTTGCCCCTACAGTTCTCTCCTTCTCTGTCACCTTAGATTAATGACATTCTTCTAAAGCCATCTCCCTTCAAATCTATTCTGTACTTCCCCTGTCTCCTACATCAAAGTCTCCTTGGTAAGGCTCCAAAAACATTATCCTTCTCTGCTGTGATTCCAACTGCCAGCTCCTTCCCCACGGCCTTGCAGCCAAGTGTCCAGCAGAGCTCCTCAGCTGGAACGGCAATTCTGGGTCAGGAGGCACCTGCTCTGCCACCTCCACCACAGCCAAGCATCTTCCTCTTTCCAGAGACCAAAGAAGCCAATCCAAAGTTTTAGTGTGCCAGTTGAGAAGACAGACTTTTAATTTTGTTCAGGGTAAAATTCAGGTGTTAGGGATTAGGCTTGTTTTGGCAGTTATTTAGAAAAGCACCTTCCAAATCAGGCTTTACCATTTCATGGAATGAGCAGTAATGATTATGTACCTCACAAACTGAAGAATAGAATCTTTTTTTTTTTTTCCTTTCTCCTCAAGGATTTGATTTTCCATGTTTTGAATTCTATATATTACAACTGGAAAAAGTTTGCCTAACACAAGATATAGTTCTAAATGCTGATGATTGAATTCAGCTATAAGGCCACTTCCACCACAGTTTTGAATTCTTTGTGTTTTTCATAAATATGGAAATATGTCATTGAATGAGCCATAAAGAAAAGACAATTTTAGATAATCATACATCTTGAGTCTCTGAAGAGTTTTTGTGAAAGGGAGAAGTGTTGACAAGGATCAAGTACGTCCTTTTTATTCTGCCTCTCTCAAACATGTAGCATATAATTTTTATCAGCCATTCAATATATTAAAAAAATGTAGAGAAATGGTGGACTGTTGAAAATATCATTTGTACTAAAATAATTCTTCTCCTATTGTAATATAACCATATGCAGCTTTGAATGCATTGTAAGTTAGGCAGAAAAAATGGAAAAAAGTAATATTTTCTTACATTGTGTATGCAATGGCATGCAGGAGTACACTGTCAGACACAAAAACATTTATTAAAAAAAATTCAATGGCATAGTAGCACAGAAAAACTTGTCATATGCAAAATGATTCTTTGACAGGGAAATCTATCACAGATTATCCAGCACAGTGTAAGTTTTGAATCATCCTGTTGAAATGCTTATCAACAGGACATTCAAAATAGGCAGCTTACATTTTTTCCTCATTATTAAAAATGGGATTACAAACATCCCAGTGGGCAGAAAATGTTTGCATGTTCCACTTATAAAACTAAAAATCAGATAAGAAATTCAGAAGGGTACAGATTCCTAAATCCTCAAAGTTCTGGCTTTGCACAGATAGAATTTACATTCAGACCCTTGCAAGCCAAATGCTTTAAAATATGTTTCAGTTTGCCAGCACTTTAAACCATTGATAAAAGCTGTAATATTACTGAAGAATTTTTCCATTTGTTGAAATGCTTTTGCATCTAGAAAAGGACTTATACACAGGCTTATTTTAGTTCACAGATTAATTTGCTTTGCAGAGTCTGGGCTACAATGGTGTGATGAACAGAAAATACTTTGAAAGCTTCCAGTGTCTTATCCAATAGGTTTTATTTAAGAGAACACAGCTAGAGTAAAGACTGTTACAAAAATTAATTCCTGACATTTCAGTTCTATAAATTGAAATAATAGTCTTTTGAGTATTCTTTACAATTCTTCAGAAACCTTGAGGGTAGTTGCCTGGACAGGCAAAACATCTGCCATTGTAATATAGGAAACTTTCCTTAGAAACCATATCTTCTGTATTTTT